CACTAGCGACAGCGGCACCAAGCCTGGCAGCGAAGCCCCCTTCCAGGGCATGGCTGCAACAAAATATGCTGGACCTGTTGTTGCGCATCCTGCGCAAGTTCCTCGCCCTTGGCTGGCGAGGTGGAAAGATCTGCGACAGCCTCTGAAAGCCTAGACACAACCCCCGTCGTCTCAGAACAAAGCTGGGCCAGCCACACCCACCCCTGATACACCAACTCGGTGCAAGCACTCTTAGGGTGGCAAAAATGGAGGCCCACGAAGGACGGGGAGAAACTCCTTTAAGCCCTTTATTCCTTATGTTGACCCCCAGAGACGCTTCCAGTTCGACCTCGAGGCGATTGGAAAGTACTCTCCAAGCCTTGCTGAGGAGTTCCCAAGCGAAACCGACGGCCCTGTTCGCGGCAGCCTCCGCAGCACACTTGGCCATGTCTCTGGCGACCGCCCAGTCAGGTGGCCCGGAAGAGGGCCCGAACGGCAATTCGACTGGGAGTCTCTGGTGGCTAGGATAAACGAGTTGATACATGCGAATCGCGCGCTCCTTCGAACTCAGACGCACAGGGTGGCGAGGACGTCCTCGCCACTGTAAATCACACTGAATGCCTTCAACAGCTCTGGAAAAGGGCGAATTACACATTGAGAAGTCGATCGTGCTAAGCGACTTCGCACTGACACAAGTTCGGGCTTTGGGGACAAACAACAAGGCATCCAATCCCCGAACCACTCCAGTCATTTTAACGAGGGGGGGATCGAGGTTCCAGTCCCCTCCGCAAGCGAACATGTGGGCATTGTCCAAAGCCTTCCCAATGGCAGCTAAGTACGACACATTACGCTGACAAAGGCCCGTGCCTGACTTCAAATACTGCACATCACAGCGATCGGGGGCCAGTGGGGTATGTCGACAATCGCACGCATGACTCCAGCAGGGATAACTGTGCAGCCCTCGTTGGGCCATCTAATACCGAGATGGGGTCGCACCAGGATCGCAAACCCCCACTTTGGCCTACCCGAGGCCCCCAGGACGGCGGGGGAGGCCAACATTTTGCATCCGAGCTTTCGAGCCGCGTCCTGCTTTTCGACCACGAGATCTTCCGAGAAACCAACCTCCTGAGCCAGGAAAATGAAAGCCGTCGAGACGGCCAACCTTTCCTTCAGGGTTCCCCAAGAGTTGCCGTTGTAGGATTCAACCGCTTCTCCGTTGCCAAGCAGACCCTCGCTGTCGGGGTCGATGTGGGGCGGAGCAGGGGGGCTGAACCGTGCCATGCTTGGACATGGGCAGTCCTGAGCATCTGGGCAGCATGGGTCTGTTACCCATGCCGCAGTCTCTTGGCAACGAGCGCGGCCGTGATGGCCTCACCGAAGGCCCTGTTGTCGACCCTCTGCGCCGAAAGGTAAACTGCCTCGAGCTCCTGGTCCGAGAAGTCCATGTCCGACCGTGCCCCGCTTCCACCACCTGCGGACGCAGCAGCATCACGTCGTTGATCTGGGCCACCTGCTCCACGATCGTCCTGCCGTTGATCTGGGCCACCTGCTCCAAGATCGAGTTCTTGTCCGTCGGCCTCTGGACCACCTGCCCCATGACCTCCGAAAACTCTCGCACCCATGGGATCAGCAAACTCACTGTCGCCTGCCATGCGTGCATCGCCATCAGCGTCGAAAGGACTCTTGGGGGCCGCTTTCCTGGCCTCCTTCCTCTCCAGCGCCTGTTTGTACAACTTGAAACCGTCCGACGCAGAGAACTGCTCAAGCAGAGCCTGCTCGTCGGGGTTGTCGGTAAGTTCGTCCGTGTCCGTGTTGAGCTGTGGCTTCGCCGCCGCAGATGACGGTAGCGTCTCCACCAGCTCTCTGCGTAGCTGCTCAACTTCTTTGGTAGCCAGGATATGCTGTGACTCGAGACTGCCCAGCTTCTCCTGTGCACTTCGTAGTACCTCATTTTGTTCTTCAACCTGCAAACGAATCCTTTCACACTTTTGCTCAGCACGCTGAAGCCGATGACCCACGTTGGTGTGAACCGTGAGTTCTGGCTTGAGCCTGGATAATTGTTTCCGAGCTTCTTGGAGTTGCATGTCCAAGGCCGCCCTTGTGAACTCACTTCCTGCGACCTTGTCAACCGCTGCTCTGGCCAGTTCAAGATGCTTGATGGTGTCTCGCAAGGCCTGCGCTTGGACGTCCTCAGGAGAAGGTGGTGCTGCACTGCCAGACTGCACTTGCCCGCCAGGAGGGGAAGAGCCACCACTGCCAGCGCTGCCCACCAGCTTGTCGTACTTCTTCTGCAAATCTGCCAGCTGCTTGCTGAGGTGGGTCGAGTCTTGGCTCCAGCTCGGGGGGGACCTCCACCTGACTGACGAGGGCCACCAGCATGATTAGGAGACAGACCTTTAGCCTTGTCGCGAGCGGCCTTCGCGACATGTGCTGGTGCTGATCTCCCGCACCTGCACACCAATCTGCTTGCATAGTTCGTGCTAAGCCCACGCCCGCTGCAAGACCAGTACGGCGTCCGAGGACCAGGAAGGACCGCGGCGCCGCCATCAGACATGAGCGATGTGCCCCCTGCGGGGCCGTGGAATGCGGAAGCCTCAGAAGAGGCGGTGTCTGCTCCAGCAGGAGCTCACAAAGTTTGGCCGCGACAGCCGTGCACCCCTGGGGTGCGAAGTCTTGGGAGCCTTGAGCCGCTCCCTCGGCTGCAAACAAGCTCCCAGCGCGGGCGCGACGTTGGGAACTTGAGCCAAAATGGCTACGGACTAGGACCGAAGCCGACGGACCTGGTCCCGCAAAAATGACGACCGCGACGCCCTCTCGCGAACCGAAAACGGCCAATTCGCTAGTCGCCGTGTCAGAGTACGAGGTCTATCAACCTCCGACTCCCAGGAGGCCCCAAAAAAGGGTGTGAGTACCTTTCCCTTTTCTGAAGGGGGGGCCGCCGGACGGCCAGAGCGCGCTCAGAGCGTGAAGCGTTTCGGGTTGTGCCCGGGGCGGGTTCCGATCCTCGAAGCTGCCACTGCGCCTGCAGAAGCACTGCACATATGGGTAAGCAGATGAGTCGTGCAAAGGTCTGATGAGGAATCAATGCAGTCGAGTTTGATTGGAGAGGGCACGCGAGAGGACACAGGACCCCGCCCAGGGCCGCATTGCAAGAGGCATTTATGGGTCGCGAGGCACAGGACACAAGGGCGCCCTTGATGTCGCAGGGTCGACCTGCTACTCAGGGCCGACTGTAGCGGCGAGGCCCACGCGCAGTCTTCTACGTCCTCGGCGGCCACGCCCGCGGCGACGCGGCGTTGCAGTGCGGCGGGCGCGGAGCTGCGCCGCACACCGGAGCGGCAAGGCCCAGGCGGGAGCGGCCGCGGCCCAGGCCCGGCGCAGGGCACGGAGCGGCCCGGCAGCCCGGCGGGGATGCGGGGAGCCGAGAGCGCGGAGCCGAACGGAGGGCGCTGGAGCCGAACGGAGGGCGCTGGAGCCGCTGGAGCCGCGGAGGCCGAGCGAGCCTTCGGGGCTGTGGCCCCGGCGCGGCGCCCGCGGGTCCGGAGGGGCGTCGCGCGGTCGCTGTCGCCGTCACACACACACACACACACACACACACTTCTTGCTTCGCGGCTGGGCGGTCCGACTCGGCGAGGGCGTCGGCGGCTTGCGCTCAGCTGAGTACCGCCGAGCGCGTGCCGGTGGTCGGCGGGTGCCGGTGGTCGGCGGCGAACGAGGGGGGGAAGTGAGAAGAGGCGGGCCTCCTCAGAGGGCCCGGAAGTCCCCCAGCCGTCTGAGAAGATCTCAAAGGCTCCCCCGAAGACACGAAAAACCTCCCAGAAGGCGCGAGTGCTACTGAAAAGCCCCACCACCGCCTTCTGAGACGGCCTTCTCCTTCTCGCTTCCCCCCTGGGCGCCCCGCTGAAATCGGTGCTTGCGTCACAACTCGGGTCTCTGGCGGCCGTTCGGGACGATCCGTGCACCCCCAGGAACGCCTTCGGCGAAGCGCAGCTGCTGGCAAGCATCTCCAGACTGGAAAGCCACCGAGAGAAGTAGGAAGACGCTCGAAAACCTGGAATTTCGAATCTCGACACCCTCGCTCGCCGCCGAAATGGGGACCAACGAGGGGCTGCGCGCGCAGAAGAAAAAAGAGCGTGCCCGACGGTCGAGCACGTGCAGCGACGCCGGCAGCCCGCTCAGGGGCAGCACGAGGCGGCGGCAAGGGGCGAGTGCCGTGCGGCCGGCGACCCAACCACACACACACGCACACACACACACACACACACACGCGCGCGCGCGCACGCACGCACGCACGCACGCACGCACGCACGCACGCACGCACGCACGCACGCACACACACACACACACACACACACACACACGCGCGCGCGCGCACGCGGACACACACACACACATACACTTATCCGCCAGCGAAGTGGCACCACTGTCGCAAGTCAGGAGTCACACACACAAGATAACACAACAACAACAACAACAACAACAACAACAACAACAACAACAACAACAACAACAACAACAACAACCACAACCACAACCACAACCACAACCACAACAACAACAACAACAACAACCACAACAACAGCAGCAGCAGCAGCAACATCAACAATAATAATAATTACAAATATCAGGCAATCAAAAACACGAACTAACAAAAGACAGACACACAAACCCACACACACACACACCCACACACACACACAAAACAAACAAACAAACAAACAAACAAACAAACAAACAAACACACACACACACACACAACACCACCACGCCACGCCACGCCACGCCACGCCACGCCACGCCACACCACACCACACCACACAACACAACACAACACAACACAACACAACACAACACAACACAACACAACACAATCCAGCACAACACGACACAACACAACACGACAGTACACAGCACAACACGAAACAACACAACAAAATACAACATAAGACAACACAACTCACTTAACAACAGTTCTTCTTTGATTAAAACAACGCTCGCGCAGCGCGCGCGCTGCCTTTGTTTCAGCGCCTCCGCAGTCGCGGCCGCGACGGCCTCCGGTGGCAGCCCCTCCAGGTCGCACCACATGCTCGGGCGCTGCCAGAGGTGCCCCTGGCCCCAGGTGCCCCCAGCTCCTCGCACCATTCTGTTGGGGCCTCGTGCGCAGGCATCGTGAGGGTTGGAAGCGAAAATCAATCCCCGGGCCCCTCCCGGGGTCGAAACTGACAAGTTATTCCGACCGCGTCCCGCAATGGCGACGAGGGTGCCCCATGTCTCGGCCAGAACCCGCGCTGGGACACCTCTGAACCCCAGCTAACTCCAAGGAGAGGGTGCTCTGGAGGCTGCGCGAGCCTCCATCGGAAATCCTGGATCCACCTTTAGAAGCCTTCCAGATGGGGTCGGAGTAGATGGGGTCGGGGGATCACGCCACATCGCCGATGCATCGCCGATGCATCAGCGACGCACCAGCGACGGCGGTGATGCATCGGCGACGTCGGCGTGGAGAAAATTGGGCTCCACATCGACTGCGTCGCCGATACCTCGGCGATGCGGCGCGACCCTCCGACCACCATCTACGGTCGGGAATTTTTGGACGGCGTGTCGCGTCGCCGGTTCTGGTCCACCACGCTTTGGCGCAACACGCTATCCACTTCCCGGTCCCCAAGCGTCAACGTTCCAAGCTTCTCCGAGCCTTCCACCCCGCGGAACGGAGCGACACACTACCCGCTTGCAGGGCATGGCGTGTCGCCAGGACCGCCGCCGCGACACGCGAAGCGAAAGTTCTTGACCGCACTCTGACCCCATTTGGGAGGCCTAGAACCGTGGGCCAGGTGGCACCTCTGGCAACACCCGACATGCCCTCTGGCCCCGCGAAGAGGCCCTCGTCCCGCATGCGGCCCCACCTGCAAGGGCGCACATGGGGGCTGGAGCGTCGGGGGAGAAGGACATACCACTTCTATGACCCCCCTTGCAGGCGCACGTCCGAACCAAGCAAACACGGCGGAGGCATTGGGGAAGCACTGGATAAGGAATCCGGGGTCTGGAAGCCAGCGGAACTCCAGTTGTGCATCGGCCGTGGGTATCGCCACCGCCCTCATAACATAAGGAATACTCCAGGGTCTGGAGCCTCCTGGGCACATTCCTTGACCAGCACCCCCACCGTAGCCTTCTAGCACAGCACTACAGTATAGCGGAGGAGGAGGAGGAGGAGGAGGAGGAGGAGGAGGAGGAGGAGGAGGAGGAGGAGGAGGAAGGGGAGGAGGAGGAGGAGGAGGAGGAGGAGAGGGGAGGAGGAAGGGGAGGAGAAGGAGAAGGAGCGAGGAGGAGGAGGCGAGCGAGGGTGGCACGGCCAGAAAGCCCCCGCCGCCGAGCATACACTGCGAGATGCCGGAGCGCGCGCGTCGCCACGGAGGGGCCGACGCGCTCTGCCTCGGCGGCGGTGAGGCAGAGGCAGCCCGCTCCAGCGCGTGGCTGGTCGGGGCAACCGATAGGCGAGTGGTCCGGCGCGGGAGAGGGAGGAAACAAGACGAGGGCGGCCGCGCGGGGGGAGGGGGAGGAGGAGGAGGAGGAGAAGGAGGAGGAGGAGGAGGAGGAAGAGGAGGAGGAGGAGGAGGAGGAGGAGGAGGAGGAGGAGGGGAGGAAGAGGAAGGGGAATCTTCGCCCGGGGTCCGCTCCCGCCAGCCCTGCATATCTAGGGAGGCGCGAAGGCGGGCCCGCCGGGAAGGCCGAGGTGGAGGGAGAGCGGGGGGAGGGGGAAGGGAAAGCGCTCAGACGTGGAAGAGTTCCGCGCAGAGCGGGTCGGTGCAGCCAGGGGCCGCCGGACACAGGGTATGAGCGTGTGTTCAGGCGGTGCCGATGGAGCGTCGGGGGAATGGGGTGGCGCAGGCTTCGGGCCGCCTCGCGTCGTGACCACACGGTCAGGAAGTTCGGGGCAGCGTAACGTCGCCGCGGCGGCCCAGGCGACACGCTGTACCCTGCGAGCGGAAATCGTATCGCTCCGCTCCGCAGGGCAGGAGGCGCCTCGGGCACCAGGAAAATACTGAGTAGCGTGTCGCGCCGAAGCGCGGTGGGCCAAAATTCCCGCCCGTAATCACGCCAGGGTCTGGCAGGGCCCCGAAGGCCGCAAAAAAAGGCCCGTCCCAAGAAGGGGTCGAGACCTCCTGAAGGCTCACGCCATGGAGGAAAAACACGACGTCGGAAATCCGGGGGGGGGGGGATGGGGAAGGCAAGGACAAGGAGGAAGAGGAGAATCGGGAATGTGCGTATTCCTCCTCCTTCTTCTCCTCCACCTCCTCCTCCTCCTCGTCCTCCTCCTCCTCCGCCGCCTCCTCCTCCCACCCTCTCCTCCTGGTCTTTCCCCTTCTCCTCCTCGCCCTCCCCCTCCGCTTCCGCCTCCGCCTCCTCCGTTCCCTTATAAGTAACTCCTCCCTGTCGCGCCCCGAGGCTGGTCGAAAGGGCGGGGCGGGCGTTTAATACGAAACCTCCTCTCACCTTATAGACTGACGGTTGGCATCTGCAACAGTTTCACGGATGGAGGGCGGGCGATTTTCAAAACGCGGCTCTCGCCGCAGCGCCGCGCACATACGTCTTGAAAAAAAAAACGGATTGAAGGCAGGCCGTTTTCAAAGTGTGCCTATCGCCTTAGCGCCGCGTTCTTCGTCTCTAAAATGAAACTAGCTTCACGGATTGAGGGCGATTCATGTTTAAAATGTGACTCTCGCCTTGGCGCTGCGCACATTCGTCTTAACTAATTACAAGAATTTCACGGATTCCCATGGCTAACGTACCACGGCTGACGTTCTGGAGCGATTCAGGCTTGTCAGGGCGCAACCGTTACATTCATTCACGGTGTTGAAGTCGCAGGAATGGTGTTCTGGCACGACTCAGGACCGTGACCACGCAACAGTCAAGTTAATTCGTGGCGTTGAAACTCCGAGAATGGTGTTTTGGCACGCGTCAGGATACTCCAACGCTTGTCTCCCAACGGGGCACTCCCCTCAGTGGACATGAACATTCGGGAGGGTTTATTCCAACATCGTTGATGCATCTTGGGTTACACTGGTCATCCTTCTCCTCCTCCTCATCCTCCTTCTCCTCCTCCGCCCCCTCCTCCTCCTCCTCCTCCTCCTCCTCCTCCTCCTCCCCCTCCTCCTGCGACGACCAAAACGACGGCGACGACGACGACGACGGCAACGACGACGGCGACGACGACGACGACGACGGCGGCGGCGACGACAACGACGACCATGACGACGGCGACGACGACAACGACGACGACGACGACGACGACGACGGCGACGACGACGACGACCACGACGACGGGATCGCGCTGATCCGCCCGGCCGGAGCGCGCCCGAAACCGCCGCGGGCCGGCCGCCCAAGGCCCACGAGCGGTGCTGCACGCGGAAGTAGACCTGCGCGGGGGAGGGGAGGGCTATGGGGGGAAGGAGGAGGAGGGGAGGAGGAGGAGGAGGAGGAGGAG